TTTTGCTCTCGTTTCACCCATGCATCAGAAAGTGCTACCGCAAAATATTGCGACTGCGCCACTAATATTGCCGAGTGAGCTGAAAAAATACGTTGAGTATTCTGATTTTCACCAACAATAATCGAAATATCACAGTAGTTGGAATTCTGATAGAACTTATCGAGTCTGTTTAAGTGCAACGTCAATAACAAGTCGGGTGTCATTTTTATTTAGTTAATTTTTTGTTTGTTCTATGGGAAGAAAGTGATTACATGTACGTATATTTATCGTTATGATCTACAAATAGCGATATACATGTACATTTAATTAGCGTTAGATCGTTACGATCAAAAGAATACGTAATTAACGTTAAATGCAATAAATTTTTTTGAATTTCTGTACAATTTCCTTTTAAAGTGCATACATATACGAGAATCTTATTCTCTATTATCACAAGTGTTTTGCTAAAAAGAAACAACAATACATTGAATAAACTATCTTATGCTTATTTCCACCACACAAAGATATGTTGTTTATTCTAATCTAGTTAATCAAGAGATTGGATAAACATATTATTACTGGAGACCTTAGCGAAAATTATGTTGATTCGAACTAGGATTTGTTTATCTTGCAAATGCGGAAGTTACAAAAAAGCCGCAATAGCCAGACATTTGAAATCTGCTTACGAATGAGCTTCACATTCTTTCAATGTACAAAAATGTTTAAATGTACTATCTAGATATAGTGTGCGTTCAGTATTTGCATAATAAATAAGATACACATACCGATATGTTGTTGGTCATCTAATTAACGTTAATTTTTATGGAGCTGTAAATCAAAATGAGAATATTAATTATTAATTGTCTATTGAAGTTTGAAATGGTAATCCTATCTCAATTTTGTTTTAGCAATATTTGAATACGTTTAAGTAAAAAAGTAGCTTTATTTGCTACCATGAATACATAAGAGAATGAATCGGATCAAAGAGCAGTCATTATTAGTCACATCCAGAATGACAATCCATTCCATTAATAAATTTTTCTGGAGCTATATTATCACGACACCAATTTTCAATAACATGAATCGAAAATATTATTAGCATTATAGCATACAGTTTATGTATAGATATGCTGTCCTTTTTTATTAAACTAATTTTTTCAATATAGAAGATTCAATAACTATCGTTCTAAAAAAAAATGTAAAGATTATTTAACTCGTAAAAAGATACATGACTTAGTTTATGACGGAACTTAACTCATTGACTACCAAATAATCGTCCTCAAAAGATGTGTCGCAGAATTGCAAACACTCCGACCGGAAGCTCAAATTCCTTTTTCTTTATGCATGCAACGGAATGATTTGCGCTAGATTAAAAAGAAAGTTTAGAAAGGGCTAAACCATTTAATTATTCATTTTCTGATCAAATAATGAATTTTGAAAGAACAGTATGACTTCCACCCACGAGGATTTATGAATGGTGTGTACGTTAATTCACAGAGTAAAATAGAATTTGATGACTTGGTTTACCGTTTCAAATTGTGCATTCAAGTGGATTGCAGATAACTAAAAGTCAAAAATTATAAATTGTTTTGTCATTGATATGTAAATTAATAAATATTTAGTCACCTAGAAAAGTAGTGGTCGGCGGTTTTTTTATTATAAATTTTTTTACATAATATTTTAATTTAAGTTTTATTTTATAATATATATAAGTAAGACTTTATATCCTAGAAATATTTTTTAATATTAATGTAATACAGATGCCGCCATATGTATTTGAAATTTAATTTTTTAGGTACAATTTCACAAAAATTTATTTAAAACTTATGAAACGCCATACATATATTATATTAGATATGGGAAACAAGTTTATCTAATAGCTTAAATTTTTATTAAAGACTACAAATTAGAATGTTCAAAAATTAAGGGGAATAACAGATTCTAAAAAATATTTTTATTAATCAATTTTATAATTATTTTTAAGAAACTATAATACCTCAAAGAATATATATTTAAATTTTTAATTGAATTTACTCCATAATTACAAAATAATGATATGTTTCAATTATTTTATTAGCTTAAAATCATAAATCTTGCATTTTTATTGGTTTTTGCATTATTGTATTTTAAAAGTGTTTACAATATTCTGAAAGGTCACTTTAGTTCTGATTTGTCCTAATTTCAATATTATAAAAATTGCTGTACTAAGCACTCCTGACAGAATATTACGGATTTGAGTGTATAGTGCACAATATTTAACCTCATCAATAGATTCTATTTTTATAAATTCAATAAAAGTCTTGGCTTGGTTAAGAAATAAATCCAAATTCAATCCGTGAATCTGATAAAAAGGCTTATTCTATATTCATGCATTAATTTTTATTTATTTCTTATTGAATTTATTAATATACTATCAAGTGGTGTAAAGTTTCTTTAAATTTATTGTATCAAACAAATCATAAATTTATCATAATACTGAAAATAAAAAGTTTTTTAATGATATAAGTGCTAGCAGGAAACGTTTTTGTAATTTTATTCCGAATCATATATTTAATAATGATATCAGAAAAATGCTTATCTTTAGTAAATGAAAGAATTTTAGATGTATTGCAAATATAATAATACTAGTTCAATATATGCATTAGAAATTTTCTTTTTATTTTTCACCATTGAAACATTCTTTATTAAAAGGAGATCATTTATCGTTTTTATATTGTTCAGCTTTAAAATTAAAATGACCAAATCATTGAATTTAATGTATCTTGATTTTCTTCATAATTAGCATCGGAATTGTATTTTTTATTACTAAAGAGGGGAATTTATTTGAAGCGTATATAAATTAAAAACAAAAATCGATACTTTGTTATATACAGGAAGATCAGTTTTGATATACGAATTGTTATCGATGACCATAAAGGAAAAGGAACATTAGGTTTAGAATATCTTCCTCTAGATAACTTAGAAGCTCTCAGCATTGGTAATTTAGAGTTTGATAACATGCTCGAACCATACTATGAAATGTATCGATAATTTTACAATAGAAACTAATCATCTTGTAATCGGGGAAATATCTTGTCTGTTCCTTGCAAAGTTTTGTTACAAATAGTGGTTCCATTTGCCATAAAACTCTAACCCTGATCCTAGCTCTAACTACAATCAAAACCCTACTTAATATTATTATACATGTACATGCTGCCGGGAAATTTCTCAGTGAATTTTTTTTCGAAATGGCGTGTCAGGCAAATAGCGTCCGGTAAATTTCCCGCCGGGAAATTGTTGTCAGAGAAAACGGGTGCATACATATTTTTACATAAGCAGCTCGCAAAGCTGTTTCTCATAATATTTGATCAGAAGACGCCAATTGAAAATTAGATTTTAATAGAATTTATCTTATGGCAAGAATTTTGCTTATAGCTGGAAGAATACGGTAACTATTAAATCCACATACTGCTAATTCAGACAACGAAAAGATATCCCATTCTTATTTTGGATTCGAATTTTGACTATTATTTTGGAAAACCAATTTCATGTGTTCGATACGATATTCATTTTCCGATACTCTTGGATACCACCTGAGCATAATCCAACACCGGCTCCAAGAAAAATTGCATATTTTGTGCTTTGTCTTGGTAATCGACCTATTTTCAAATTATATGATATAAATCAAGTTTGCAAAAATATCTAGAAAATAAATGCAACACTTTAAATAGATAACTTACATAATGTTGAAAAGCATAAAGCAGTCCCAACTCCAGCCACAACTGTATTTAACACGTCTACTTCACCTCTAAGACGATCTAGCGTGGCTTCCAATCCAACAAATGACAAACACAAACTGCCAGTAAAGAATGCGTATCGTGCACCTCGTTTAAACCCGCCCAAGAGCATTTTGTAGTTTTTGCGCTTATGGTAAAAGTACCAACCACCCTTAGTAGTAGGCAATTTATGTGCATTTTCTGCTCGGTATTGGAGTCCACTACGTTTACTTCCTTCATATCCGCCGAAAATCAATCCCCAAAATGCTCCGCTTGCTGTTGCTAGTGCTATTCTTTGCGGCGTTGGCATTGAGATTCGTGCAAGTGGGTCATTATTGTTGTCATCAACGTTGATTTTTGGTGGATTAGCGTTGGAAATAGTGGATGGTGAATTTTCGGGTGCGGATAACGAAGCTGTTGTTAGTGGCTGAATCATACTTAATATTAACGTTAAGAAAAAAAAACTCGTAACGGAACGAACGGTAACGGTAATTAGAAAAGATTGACATCAATGTTAAACGTTTTTATTTGTCATCTGGTGATACAATAAAGATCCACAATAAATGTTTACGAAATTGTACGTATCGGTATGGCATTTCCGAACACGGAAATTTTCGTTAACGTTAAAGCTTCTTTCTTTTATCATTGGATTATGACTGGAACCAAGATTATATATAAAATTGCCTAACCAATATTTTTTATTAGTGCTTCAAGTTTAATTAGACACTTGTTTACAGTATTTTTTACATTTTACGCATTTTTCATTTTCTTGTGCCGGTTTGTGCCATCTACATCAAACAATATATTCGGCGTAACCTGTCACACATTTCGGGAATAGGGGTGTCATGGAGCACTCTGTGTTATATGTTTAATATGATCCAGAGTGCTCCATTAACAACCCCTGCTCAGTGTTGTCAATGAAGCTTTTGGAGTGCCTCTATGAAGAAAAATGACATACAGTACGATAAACACACAACGATAATGCCTTCCTGTGTTATTTCCATGCATAAACCGGATTTACAAACACAAACAGAAGTGAAGAATTTCACACATATAAATCATCGTTTTTTAAATAAAACACTGGCATAATCGTTAACGAAGACTCATGATAGTAGTAAATGTTTTCGTTGTCAAGTACGGGGTTACTGCAACGAGTGTTCAGTTCACAATACAGTCAAAGTCCTTTACAACGGCCGCATTGGATTGACACTTGGGCTGCTTATATTATAAACTTCGGTATATAGGGAGTTTTAAATAGTTAGAAATCGTAAAAATCGGGATATCAATATGATATAAGCCAAATCCGATGTATACAACGCCGTTGTAAAGGACTTTGACTGTACTCATGATCGCAATAAATGTTACGAATGTCAATATGATGACTACTGCAAAGACTGTTCAGATCACAATATTCATGATTGTAATAAGTGTACAGACTTTCAAGTAGATGAGTACTGCTGTGGATGTTTCTATATCACAAACGAAATTACAAAGCGGGATGTTTTAGCGGAAATAAAGATATCGACAGTCTAATATAGCATGCAATAAAATCGATAATGAATTCGAATGGATCCTTTTTGAAAGATTACCAATGTTGCATGTCATATAAAAGGAGGTTTGGTTGCATGAAATGTGGAAGCGTGAAAAAATAAATTTAAAAAGAGCGTAAACTCAAAGTTGTATTTAAATTATTCCACAATCGAATGCAAACTACAGCAGAGCTTATAAACGAGGTAAAATACACACCTTTAAAGCGCAAGTATCTTACTTTTTGTTTTTTAATATAATTTACTTTTTAAAATTTGATTCAGACTGCTCTAAAGCGCACTGGTAAATGAATTTTACTATAAATAACTAAAAACACAACTATAAATGAATATTCGATAATGCTGGATTATGCAAAAGATGGCGTTCTACGCAAAAAATATGAATTCCAACTACTTGAATTGGGAAGAAAAATCAAATTGCTTAATTGATATTACTGAGGTTGAATATAATTCCCAAAGAGAAACTTATGCATCGTGACTTTCACCCTGAAAATGTACAATGCTGCTCAAATTGCTGAATTTGGATTTAGCAAACTAGCAATCTGATCAAAAAATTTGCGGCGTACTTCCATATATGAGTCCAGAGTACTAAATGGAAAGCCATGCGGATATCTATAGTTTTGGGATAATTACGCATGAAGTTGTCACAGGTGAACAGCCATTTGGTGGACGAAGTCACGATATACGCCTTGTATGCGACATCTATAATGGAGTACGACTAAGATACCAAATACAGTCCCCAGATGTTGCAGATTTATTATTGAAAAATGCTGGAATCCTATTTCCAGCAAGCGGACCAATTACTGATGAACTTGAAGAGTTCATCGGATCTATCCGATATTCTATATATAGTCCAGAATTTTTGTATTTTCAATACTACGGAGATGAAATTAAAGAGTATCTTAACTTGGGAAAGCAAAAATTATATGAACTTAAATATAACATTTCTTCATATATGCAGCCAAATCTGATAAAAAGAGTCATGTAACTGAGAAAGAAACAGACCATTCAGCCAAAATTCGAATTATTAGTTGTTTAATAGTGATATATAGGTAATTGACTGATACAAGTTTTGATGAATTGCAATAACTGAACAGAGTATTTACAACATTGTGTGTCCAAGAATTTGTAGTTTTGTCAATAATAATGACTACATGTTTCTCTTTAAATTCAGTATGTAATGCTTGAAAATGTTCTTCAAATATGTCAGGTAAATATTTGCAGTGCAAAGTATCAGCAGTAGGAATAGTACCACCTTTACAATAATAAGTTATTAAAAATAGATGAAATTTATCCACTTTTTCTAAAGAAATATTGGCATTAATTCACATCTTAAGAAACTCGTTTATTACAGCTTTTTTGGACTCTGCTGCTCATATAATTGTTTGAATACCTTGTTGTCATTGAGATTTTTTATTTTTTATATGAGTTTTTTATTTTTATATATTTTTTAGAGTTTAAATGCAAAGTAATTTAAAAAAAATTAGCATAGTTGATAAAACAGGAGCAAAAATGACACATGAGTATGCCATTTTCAGTGTGAAAATCATCAGGATAATTTTGTGTGTGAGATATTGCTATGACTTTTTTGTTACCGTATAACGCTAACTATAGTACCCCGGTCTTATTCAAAAACCTCCCTTGAACTTGAATAGTACCCCCCCAAGATACAGAATGACGAGAGCAATATATGAAAATTTGTTACTAATTGGAGGGTTATCTTGCTGTTAAACACAATAGATACATAGAAAAAACCAAACACTGCTTATAAAAATTAGGCCGCAAATTGCTTATTAGCAAAATGGGATACTATCTCAGGGGGGGTACTGTAGTCAGCGCTATACGTGGCATTTTACGTGTTATATTGTAGAATGACAAAAAAAACCTATTACATATTAAAACGCGTAAATGTGTGTCAATATGTGAATATTCGAAAGTTTGGAGTGATAAAAAACGCGTAAACGTGAAACTCGAAATTTTGGAGAGCAAAAAAAACGCGTAAACGTGAAATTCAAAAATTTGAAGTTCACTCAAATTTGATGTTACGTACTTAAAACTCCTGCATTTGATAGTAAGATTTGCATTACCTGACGAAAATTTGGATCCAAATTTTTCCGGGTACCTGTTGACTAAAGCCTGGTGAACACGTGTAATCCATCCAATAGGTGTGCGTAAATTTTTGTCAATCACCAATAAGAATTGATCAACCCGGAAAAACAAATCTGACACAAGATATGAAAAATGCGAGAAATGTGAATATTACAAGAATACTGACACTTAAATCTGTCTTGAAATACTAATTAACAATGTTAAGAAGTCGATTTTATATATAAACTTTTCCTCTAATTCTAACCCTTACCTATTCTTATACAGTGGCGATCATAAATAATGCAACAAAAAAATAAAATCAGTCAAATCGAAATATTTCGCGCAACTTTGGAGATATCCTCTTTTTTTTATAGTTTTATTCGTTAATAGTGTCATTTTATTTATTAAAATCTTAGTAATCATTGTTATGTCCAATTCCAGGATAAATACGTGAGTAGTACAAAATACGTGTTGCATTACATATGATCATTTTATGCAAAAATCAGATGGTCATTGTCATGCTACATAAATATCATATAAAAGGAAAATTTATTGCATATTATTTACATGTTCTATCATGTTATAACTTTTTAATCAAAAAGCTAAGATGAAAATGCCCATACAACTCTAAAAGAAAGAGCTCAAATTCTTCTTTCTCTCCAAAATAGAATATTACAAGACAAATAGCAAAGTCAAAAATATTGATCTCTCAATGGTTTCCTGTATTAATAAAGATGATATAAAAGAAACTCTATTGAAGATGCAGCAAAACTAGTTTGATCACACACTATAAGTGAATCAATAAAAAAGATTGGCAACCTTATTACCTCCTGTAGATATTCACCCATTGTCAGAAGCTCAAAACATTTATGATATGATGATAATATTAATATTTCAACATCTACTATTTATCGGGTACTTCGGGACAATGAATAGTAGCAAAAAACTTTACCTGAGTGAAGAACATCAAAAATATCTGTTAGAATTCGCACGAAAGTACAAAAATTAGACCATCAGAAACTGGCCAAAGATAACATGATCAGGTGAGTCAAATTTTAAGTTTTTTGAGCCTGACGCCAAGTAGTATTACTGAAAATGTCCAAATGAACTGTTAAATTGCTTCTATATTATCTCTACCATGAAGTTTAGAAAGATAGTTGGTGATGCTATGGGTTGCTTTGAATTTTGTGGTGTCAGTGGCTTTTGTAAAATCAATGAGAAAATGGATACCAAATTATATCGACAGATACTTCATTAAGATTTTATGTATACAATCAAGAAACATAAGTTTGCTATTAAATAGATTATTTTCCAATAGGGTAATGATTCTGAACCTATGGCCAAATTGACAAAGTGACAGTTTAAAAACAATAGGGCAAAGGTACTGTATTGGTTCTCGAATTTCGGATTTAACTCCATTGAACACTTGTGGAATGAGGTCGATTATTGTCTTCAGCATCTCCCTGGGCAAATTTTGAACAAGGATGACCTGTGGAATAAGTCCAACAGATTTGGCTAGAAATCGATGTTGAAACTTACATAACCTAATCCACACTATGCTGGAAAAAGGGTTCGTGCTGTCATTAAGGTGCGAGGTGGTTATACGAGGTGGTAGGGGTGGAATCCTATCTAATATTAACAAAAACAAAAAAAGTCTAATGTAAAAAATGCGATTTAATATATTGTATTCGCGTTGTGTTAAAAAAGAACATAAGTAATGCAACAGGCCAAATCGAATAAAGATATTATTTGCGAAGTATTTGACTTATGAATCCATGTTTAATTTTTGATATCTAAAAAT